TTAGGTTGTATGTGATTTGGAGCATTTGTATTTTGGGTGTGGGGCAGGATGGATTTTAGTGTTAGATATGGGTTCAGAGTCCAAGCTTACTTTTAAAGTGCAGATGGAAGAAAGGACAAGGAAGGCAGCCTTGGCCTTGAACAGCATGACCAGACCCTTATGGAAAACAGGTATACAGCAGCCTGGGGGCGACAACGCCCCCCAGCCAGTCTGTTACCCGATTCACTATTCCTGCTACAAGTTCCCGTTACTTCTGTCTCCTAGAAATGGCTGGTCACAGTGATGCGTATTGCAGGAACCCATCAAAGTCAGCCAAGTGCTCTGCCTGTGTGCTCCTCTTTGCAACCAATCTCATAAAAACTTCCTGAGCCTTTGGGGCCTCACATTTTGAGGAATAGTTGATTCCCAACTAGTGCCCATCTGATGTTAAATCAGCCTCCAAATCCTGGGTGTCCTGCTTGCCATTACAGTGTGACCCCCATGTGGGGAGCAGTCTCCCAGGCCCTACCATTATCTCCAACCCACCCGGCACCCACTCCTCACCTGCAAGAATGAAGATGTGTACCACATACAGGAACTTGAAGAGTCTAGAAGAGAGAGTGTTGGTGGGAGGGGGCAGGGTGTCCCTGGCCCTTCCCAGTGGGCACTGGCTTTCCTCCCCCTGCCAGACCCTAGAACCAGCTCTACTAGGGTTGGTCCAGGGAAGCACTTGTGGATGATCTCAGCTGTGGCAGTGCCTGCAATAGGTGGCTGAAGGGCATGATTCACTGCGCCTCTTCCTAGTCCTACCAATACCAGGTTTTCAGCCAGGGACACACAGGAACACCTGGCCCCCTCTCCTCTTTCTGTCTGTAACTAAATCCATGACACCCCCCCACCACACACACACACACACACACACACACACACACAGGGTCTCCCTGGGAAGAAGGCAGGAGCAGCCCCACTTTGTGCTGGATTTATTCTTCTCATATTCTTCCAAACCCAAGGTTAGAAAAACTAGCCCAGCACTCTGGAGGCTGAGGCAGGAGGATTGTTGCAAGTTTGAAACCAACCTGGGCTACAAAGTGAGCTCCAGGCCAGCCTGAGCTGCATAGTGAGACCCTGGCTCAAAAAGAGAAAAAAGAAACAATAGCTCATGGTGCAGTCTACTCTTCTAGGGCCCCTTCTTGGGACTGTCAGGATGGTGGCTCCCCATGCACGCATGCACACACGCGTGTGCACACACACGCACACACACACACACACACGTCTTCCACCCTGAGCTCCTGCTCCTCTTCCTCTTTCCCTTGACCTCAAATCCTGGATGCATCACAACAGTCAGGGAAAGAGGAATAAAGAGCCCCACTTTCCTCTTCCTCTTAGGCCCAGGCAGAAGGCCCCTCTTTGTTCATTTAGGGACAAAGTAACAGGGCCCGCATGAACGTTACCCCTCTCTTTCGCAGCATAGACCAAACAGCATTTTCGATCTAGGAAAAAAAGTTGAGCAACAGTCAGGGTACCATGCAGAGCTGGGGGCCGGCGCTCCCCCACCTCAGGGCTGGCATGGATGACAAGTGGGTCAGAGGCAGCGGGGAGGGCGAGGACCTCCACCACAGGACTCAGCCAAGGGACAGCCTGCCGGTCACGGCTGGAGGCCAGTCTCTCTAGGAGCACGGGAAATGCTCAGGAATTTCTCCCAAATTCTCCAAAGTCCCTAAACGCTAGTTTCAGTACCCTCGGAGTTGTAGCCAATCTCAGTGGAGAGAGGGGGTTCGCGTGGGATTCAAGAAAAAGACACAGCTGTCTTGAACACAGGCACAAAATCTTCCCAGGGCTGGGTAGCTGATTATAGTAGTAAATAAGGCTACCAAACCTTTCAAGTGTTTTGTGTTTTTTTTTTT